ACTGATTATATACTCTTTATATAAGTGAATTTAGGGTTATTTAAAAAAAAGTGGATACACAATAATAAAACATATAAATGCATTATACTTGTTAAAATGTTGGTGGGGATTCGAAAAGTATGGAAGACAAAATATTGATACTGTATATTTATTCTACCCTAGTTACTACCTTTGTTATACTGAAATTGATAAAATTGACATAAAACGATTTATTGATATATGTGTAATTGAGAATACAATAAATAGAAACTATTGAAGATGATTATATTCAGACAATACTATGTGTTTATAACATTATTTTTCAGATTATATTTAACTAGAATGTATAATAACAACCTAGTTTTTAATGCTAATTCATAAGTACTATCAGTATAGATTTGCGAAGATTGTTGAATTTTACTAAAACTATGAAATGAACTAAGTTAGACAATCGTTAAAAAATTGGAAGAGCTGGATGGGTGTTTCATTCTGGTTTGGGACTCTGTAGTAATGAGTAGTCACGACTTTACAACCGAGAATTAAATACAAGTTTCAATGATTTTGATGGAGTTTTGTTCTCTGAGCTGGATGGTTTAGACGTGGAGCTTTCATCGTTCTTCTGAATGACATCATCAGTACAAACTTCAAATAGAAGTGAAGTGTTCGAATTTCTCCATATGTGGTTCACAGTTTTTCCTGTAGACCTCGATGTTGATTGGTTCTTGTTAGCCTTGAACCTGTCATTGTTTACTTCTTTGTTTTGGTTATATCTCCCATTGGTTTGATTTTTGTTCCTAGAACTAATGACGGGTTTAAGGTCAATAAGAATCAGTTAACATCGAGGTTTACAGGATAAGCTGTGAACCATATATTGAGAAATTCGAACAATTCACTTCTACCTGAAGTTTGTACTGATGATGTCATTCAGAAGAATGATGAAATCTCCACGACTAAACCATCCAGCTCAGAGAACACAATTCCATCAAAATCATTCACCTGAGCTACAAATCTCTACCATCTCATGTTTCAATAGTTTTTGTTTTAGAACGATCCACGACTTCAAAATTATAATCACTAAACAAACAGTTATATTTTAATAAATTTGTTATTCTGTTCAACAGTTTGTACACAATGTTGTTATATATGTTATTTGATTAGAAATTGAAATATTGTACAATGTAGGTATTATTAGTGGCTGTACAAAGGTTAAATATATATATGTTTATTACATTTGTTAAATATACAAACATATTCATTTACAATGTGAAAGTGTTTATCTAAATCAAGTCCATGAAATAAACAGTAATCTTGTCATAAATTCTACATAGACTAATGAATGAGTATATACTAGGAAACAAAAACGAAAAAAAGAATAACTAACAGAGTAAATGATAAGTAAGTAAAATATTATAAGGAGGAATTTTTTGCCCGTTTTTGAAGATGTGATACAAATGAATAAAGTTGGTTGAACTAAGATGATTAACCTAAAATTTCTATAATGTTAGAAAGTGGTACAAATCGATATGAAGTTTTGAATACTAGGACATAGATTCATAGTCATGGATTTTTATCATGATTCAATTTAATGAACTAATTGGTTTCTTCCCTAAATTTCACTTAATATATGAGTAAACGGTAGCCCAATATAAAAATCTTTACCAGAAATAGCTGATAATCTTGTTAGATAATGTAATTCTCATGCTTTGAAATAAGCGTTTTACATTAAAAACCATTTAGTAACTGATTTTAAGATACTGGAAGATAGCCAGATTTATTTTCTTTGTCTTCATTATTCGTTACTGCATTGTGTCATATGGAAGACAGTACATAACTCTGTTGTGTACTAAACCGTTTTGATAAATGTACAAATGCTTTTACATTTTGACAAGTGAATTGCGCTGACCATTATTATATATCTATATCAAGACGGTTGCCCAATAAGCTTGTCTAGTATCTAAAACGGTGATAAATCTTATAAATAATATTATGATTTACATGGAACGTTTTTTCACTCTTTGTTTATGTATGATTATAGCTTATGGATAAAGTTTCAGACCGCCAAACTGAGTGAATAGGGTTTGAATAGCACAAGGAGTAACATTTGCTTCGGGACTGTAAGTGCTTCTTGATAATGAGTTCCAGCTAGCACAAATATTAAGCTCACGTTTCTGTGCCAAATACTTCTAAGTACCTAGTAACCAAGTCATAATTCGCTTGATGTCATATCGCTTGGACTATAGTAGAACATGATCTACACTGAAAGACTAGATAAACATGAATTCGGTTATTATCCGATGATCGACCAATTGTAGAATAAACATTATTCTGTCAAATACAAAATAGCTAGCCAACTGTTTTCAATTTAAGTATGTTATTTTTTTAAACACACTTAGAGTAAGTTTGTTTTACAAACTATCTGATCACATATGAATTCCAATAAGGCTAGAGATCGAATAAATTGAAAGATTATCCTTTGACTGTATCTGTATACAAGTACAAATACTGCTTCACTACTAATTCTTCATGGAACGTCTTGCTATTATACTGAAAATAAGTGGATCCCAAAGAATTGTTGAAAATCATTAAAGTTTTCAATAATGCTTAATGATTTTTAATTTTATATCACAGTCATTCCTTCTTGTATGAGTATTCATAAAACGATTATGAAAGGGTATTCTAGGATCATCACATCTTTCAATAAATTTCGAAAATTCTGATATAACTTGTTGTAGTGCACGAGAACACAAGTGGGGACAATCGAATGTAATTGAACACAGAATTATAGAATATCTTAGTGAAATCTAAGAACCATACAGTAAATATTTTATTTGCAAAATATCAATCAATTGTCTCAAACATGACTGTTTCTTCTGCAAATATCAGTCAATCGTCTCAGACTTCATTATTCTTTCGTTTTCACACTAATCATTCTTTTTTCTCGTTCTCTTTTCTTTGATCTTCTTAACCTTCTGCTACCAGATATTTCACTTTCGATTAATGATACATACTACTTGTATCTATCGACATCAGTAGCAAGCACCACATTGTCATTCGTTTTTTTGTTGAAACGAATGTCAAACAAATGTCGACTGAAAGCCATTTCGTAATTATTAAACTGCTAAGTAGAACTGATGAAAAAAATATGACGTTTATTCACGTACTTAATGCTGTAAGGTTTGTAAAATCATTGAAGAGAAGTGTAATGTTGGTTATTATGTTAAGCTCACATAATTTATCCTGGCTTCTGAACGGGCCAATTTATTCATTCTTCTTGGGTCACGTTTCGAACTTGTTAATTATTCACTTATCAACCTTGACTGTTTTTGTATGAGCATATGTGAGTACATCTTATCCTACTCATTACATGTTTGTGGATTATTTTCGTGTGACTATAAATATTGATTAACACTTGATTAAATCGAGTTGGCTTACATGCCTTCTCCACCGCGCATCATTTCAATTCGCTTCGTTCCTTTGATCGTCTGCCTGGATAATGATTGCACAAAGTAAACGTATTCAAAATCCTTTCTCCTATTCGACTTATTTTAAATCCGTTATTTACTAACGTGAGTTAAGTCGATAATTATATACGAGGATAGCTATGACGTATATTTGACAACAATCATTCATATGATACAACTGGAGTCAAATATAGGACCATCAAAGAAGTGTTAACATTTTTTTTGCACTAAGTAATGTAAATGGAATGATTCATTAAATCCTACCATTTAGCATTACTGTAGCTGATAAGATTTGACTGAGCATCAAATTACCATCGTTTTCTCTTGAATCAATTCACTATCATCAGATATTTTTATGCCATAAAAAGTGATGAATAAGATTTACTGCTCAACTGAGTGTTTTTGTATAATGTTTCTATTTCTGAGTATAATGATTACAATTTTTACGCTAATGTTGTTTATCTGGACAATATTATCAATGTATACTGTGGGAGAGAACAAACCAGATCCCAACGGAGGAAGAAATCAGGAAGAAGAGTTGGAAGTGCATAGGACACAGATTGAGGAAAGCACCCAACTGCGTCACAAGACAAGCCCTCACATGGAGTCCTCAAGGCCAAAGGAGGAGAGGAAGACCAAAGAACACATTACTCCGGGAAATGAAAACAGACATGAGAAAAATGAACAAAACGTGGATAGAACCAGAAAGGAAGGTTCAGGACAGAGTGGGTTGAAGAATGCTGGTCGGCGGCCTATGCTCCATTATGAGTAACAGGCGTAGGTAAGTAAGTAAGTACTTTGTATAGAATGCACTAATAAAGTAATGTAATATTACGTAATGAATATCTGATTAGTTGTTCAATCTTTTAAGTATTTGTATTTATTCTACAGATAGCTAGTTAAAGTTAGTTGGTATGACACGATGGGACATTTATATTTTGTTCAAATTTATCACTTATTTAATATAAGAGTATTTTGTTAAATTATCGATTGGTAAGTTTAAAGGTGCTGCGCTAGTGACAGAACATGGAACTGAGACATTTCACACCATAAATATATAACTGCATATTCTTTTGCTATATAATTATTTAGTGGGATTACAATACACTCTAGTCAGATTTAACAGTGTCCCTTCTACATATACATAATGACAGTGATCTAACCCAATATGATTAGTTTTTGCATTGAAATAACCGTTTATTATACTTTTCTTGATAATGTTTATTCTATCTGACCCTCTTCTTTGCGACTTGTATATCTCAATGTTAATTATCTAAATAATTTATCGTTCAATATTATGCAACGTGTAACGAATATTACTTTTCTATTATGGGAATTATAGAGTTTGGCTTTAAATAACGAATTAATCTTAGCTAGAAAATTATGGGAAATCAAGGAGTTTTAGTCTACTGTCTCATCCATGAATGATACACAGCACTACATTATCTCCGACGCATCACAGATCTTATCTATGACATTCAATTAACATATAGAACAGTATTTATTGAATAATTCCTTATAAAGTAAAGAGAAATTGGGAGAGAAAAAGATAATTCTTACCACAATTGCCTCGATAAATTATACGTTTTAATGATTGAGTTTCACAAATTGCACGTTTTAAAAAACATTGATTTGTATAAGTTTCACCATCATCTGCACACACTGGATCAGGCCATTCATTTAAACAATTAATATGTTCACAAATACAATTGGAATATAATGGTAAAAATTTTTTCATTATCATTTTTGATCGATAATAATGATCTAATGGATCATAACATTTTCCTCCATAAAGACATATATTACCATTTCCACATAATTCAGCTTTAGGTTTATATTCTTCACAATGTTAATGTTGATAAATGACAATGATGAAAGAAACAAAAAAAAGTAAAAGAAAGGTTAGAGTCAAAGTTAAAAGAAATAAGTTCAAAAAAAGATAACGTCAAGTTTTCAATGCATTTAGTTTCAATACAAATCTTAAATAATTGAATTCATGAATTGATTAAAGCTAGACCATTATGGATAACCTGGAAGTATTAGATGGCCGTTTTGGTCCTAATATAGGACTCCTCAGAAGTGCACATCCACAATCCTATCCCTTACTAGAACGAAATGGTTGTTCAGTACTTCCAGGTTATCCATGATAGTGTAACTTTAATCGACTCATGAATTCAAATACAATATCCACAAAACCCCATTCTCATATTAACCTTAACGACTTGAAGTAAAGAAGAATATAAAAAAAAGAACAGATGAAATGTATTTCACACTGAAATCTTAGTGCATTCATCATTATGTTCATTTGATTCAGATGGATTAATAATTATAATTGAGTCAACTTCATCATGGATAGAGGTGAAACTAAAGTGACCTTGAGAATCTACACCTAATTACTGCAGCTAAGTGAAAGTTATAAAGTAGTGTGGAGAATAAGGCTTATGATTTACAGTTGATGGTAAGGGTTAGGATTTAGATTTATGATTTACATCACAAACTGACATTAGATAAATTGCTAAAACACTATTTAGACAAATAAACGAATGAATTTCGCACTGAAAATCCGAGACTTGTTATCTTAAATCTGATCGGTTCGTTCATAAATTATAGTCTCGCCTAGATAGGACTATTATTTATTGTATACCATCTATTTATTAACTTAATAAGTGTAAAATATCATAACAAACAAAGAAAACTGATTCATTGTGATTTATTATTCATACCTGAAAGAGATTTATTTTATTTGTACAATCAAATTGATGTATTATGTCTGTGTTATTGGATGCAAAGTTATAACCTATTTAGAACTAATAGAAACTGCCTTATAATGTATTAGTAAATACATGAATAACGTAATACATGATGTTATTTGGTCCATTTAACTTTATATAGTCTCACTTATAATTCAAACACAGTGTTCTGATCATCATGTGAACCAATACAAGCATGTTTGGAATCCATTTTATTTTCATTTATTTGCAAAATGTTGCCTTACATCTAAGCTGCTCCAATGCGTGGATTAATGACAGGGAGTAAAGTATGTGTGAGCATCGACCACTTACCTTACCATGATAGTCCTATCATCCCTGGAGAATTGATGCATGATGAAATCTCGAAACCGACTCAAATATCTCAGCTGGCTTTTGTTAACATTCATCACTCTTGAAGTAGGTGTGATGTCCGTTTGGCTACCAAAGTAAAAGTTTACTGTGCACTAGCTGTCTCTCATCTGATTTATAGATTTTAGAAATCACCTTTAAGAATTGACGATATTCTTAGATTATACTTCTATATTATTCTTTTCTACACCCTCACCTGTCCTACCCCTATTGATACTTTTATTATTTCTACTTATCTAGGATTTAGCTTTATAGCTATACCTCACTGTGTTAATTTTCTGTCGAAACTTAGGAAGATGTACATGCTCCCGGTTATACCTTTCATAAAACTGGCTGATTTACAATTTAAACTTTTATAACATAAAGTTATGCTCATGAAATAATCGGTTCTATGGTTGATAGTTTTCCATTGTTTTGGCAAAAAAGAAGTAGGTCATTATCAATGCGGAAACGTTAGTTATTAATGTTTCAAACTAAAAGAACTCATTTGAAAAGAAATACAATCTAAATATCCTCACTGTTTACTTGTATCGTGATTTTATTTGTATACATGTTTTTGCGTATTAATTATAAGGGTCAATGAATCATTGATGCCTGTTTGATTTAAGTGTAGTTGAGTGTTGTCTAAACAGGGTTTTGCTAAGATGATTAGTAGTATCGGTATAACTGTGTCTAAATTTCGTTCTAAGAAAGTCTTATTTATTTAAGTAAACCGACATCAAGCTGCCATTTAAATCCATGTAACTGTTACTCACTCGACATTTCACACAGTACTGTGTATGTATGTTATGTTTATATATTACTAATTTAACGCTAGGTAACATCTGAAGAATTCAAACTTGCAACAAAAATACACTTACATTAAACATGCTAATTGCATTTCAAAATATATCAAACACTTCGTGATAGAATTTTATATGCCTTTTTGGTTATTATAATACGTACATCGCAATAAATGACGCTATGACATCAAACGTTTTAAAACGAAACAGCAAATTGCAGAAAGTTTTTTAAAATGCGAGTTTAGGTACTTGTAAGTAGTATAAAATAAATTAATAAATATTAGGCGTATCATGTCATTATTCCATTGCTTTCAATGAAATTTTTCCTAGCGGACCATGACTTCTTATTTCAGTCACAGAACATTAATTATACAATAAATTCTAAAAGTTTACACAATCTACCACTTTGGATGACTGAGTTTCAACGAACTATATGCATTCTATGCAGCAAATTTTATCCAGTTACGAATGAATAGTTAACTCAACTACTGGCGGCATTTTGCTGAACATCAAATCATATAACAATTGAATGCTAATGATATTACATCAGTTCCACCTGAGTATACTTCCGAAATGAGTTGTGTTTCATAATGTTAAGTTTAAATGCTCACATCATCTATTCTTATCCACATTATCATGCAAACTGATGAAATTTCGTGATATAGGAAAGTAAAAAAAATCCAGAGTTTTATGGCTGAATTAAATTATTATGAAAATAATCCTGAAACAAATTTCATATTGAGTTTAGAAGGTAAACAAACGTAGCTTTTCTTTGTGTGGTATTATGTAAGAGTAGTCTGTGTTTATTTGTCTCGGTGTGTGTGTGTGTTTGAAGAAAAACGTATATCCATTATTAACATTATTTTCTTTCTAAAAATAATTGTAATTTTACGCTCATTTTTAAACGCATAGAAACGTTTGTATTATTGCTTTTGAAGTCAAGTTTCTACAATTTGTCTTGATGTTGGGAAACTTTGTCTTTTGATAAAATTTTAATAGTTGAGATCATGAGTCAAATGAAGATAGACCATCACAGAAAACCTGGAAACATTGGACGGCCGTTTCGTCCTATTGTAGGACTCCTCAGCAGTGAGTTGTTCAGTGCTTCCAGGTTTACCATAATGATCTAGCATCAATTAACTCGTGGTCTCAACTATTAAAATTATTATAATATCCACAAAATCCCTTCTGTTGATAAAATGTTTCAATAAGTTTACTACTCCAACATTCTGAATGAAGATCAAGCAAATTTCTTTCTTGGCTTACTATGAAGCATATTATTTAGATTATGTTTTTCTAATTTATCAGTTTCCTCATGTAAATAAGCTCATTTATGGTTTACGATATTGTTAAATTGTCATATGGATAAAACACTATTTGTCAAACTAACATTCAGTTAAAATACTAACTAAATATACAGTGAAGCTACATTGATATAATTCATTTCATAGGTAAAAGTCAGTTTTAAGCCAATATTTGTGTATTACCTTGTAATAATGAAGTAGTTGTATACAATTGTGATTCGCTGTAGAAAACCCATCTTCGTACGTTTGTTCAGTCAATTCAAAATGATGGATATATAGAAACTAGGCAATATTGGTTCTATAATAGCTGTTATACTTACAGTGCATCTTAATCTATTGAAAAACAGTACATGATATTATTATTAATTATTATCCTCAGACGTGATTAATATCGCTCACCTAAATTTTACCATATGATTGTTAGATAAAGTGCCAGGATGCATAGTAATTACATACTTTCAGAAGGAGTTTTGTGAATATTATAGTTGAGATCATGAGTCAATTGAAGCTAGACCACTATAGAAAATCTGGAAGAATTGAACGGCTGTCTCGTTCAATTGTGAGGCTCCTCAGCAATGTGCATCCACAATACCGACTAGCGAGATTCAAACACAGGTCCTCTCAGTCTCGCGCGCTAACACTTAACATCTAAACCACTAAGCCGACCAGCATTTAATGGTGTTAATGTCTAACTTCAACTAATCCACGAAATTGAGCGACACATCCACCATTGTCAACATTAAGTTATTATCTCACAAGAGACCTGGTTAAACTCGCTCTTGAATTCCAGGAAATGCTACTTGAAGCCAGTCACTAGTGAGTATATATTGATTAGTGTCAGAAGGTGTTGAGAATCGATAATAATTGAGGGTAATTTGTTTAAATTATGGACAGTTTAGTAATGTTATACTTAAAGAAATAATTAAATAACAAAACAGTTTCAATTTCAAAATGTACTGTTAATGAATTTTATTAAGTTTATGAAAATCTTAAACTGTTATGTGAAAAGAAGCATAAAACTTTACTTTCAATCTTGTAAGTATAACATACTTTGCACTGACAACCATACGAACTAATACTGTATGCTATTAATGTACTTAAAGTTCAATCATATGAAAGTATGGTCATTTCATGTTTACCTAGATTTATGTACATACTTATACGATTAACCAAGATAACATTCTAATAAATATTCTTTAAATACCATTATCTGTAATGAAGATATGTGAGAAATTTCAGTTAAACATAATTGAATCAATTTCCTAACTTTGACATAAAAGATAATTGAGTTTAGATGTGATTGTGGGGTTGTGGAGATTAGTAAATTTTTGATTGAGGTCTAACACTCATCGATTCATGATCTCAATCAATAGAGTTAGATACTTGACATTTACTGGATGATGTCATAATAATACGATATCAATTTAATAGTCTACAGAGTGATTTTCATATCAAAGTGGAAACAAAACTAAGTAGTATATCAGTGAATATGATCTATGAAAATTTATCATATAAAGCTTAAAATTAAAATGTTCTTTAAGCCAGAGATCTATTTGATAGTTATTACTTATGCTTTCATTTGTAATGACTTGAATTGATTATTCATTTTTAGCAAGAAAAATGTTGTCTGACGA